GCAAAAATGTTGACGCTATTGTATAGAGCGAAAAAAGTGGAATTGTAAATATGTAATTTATTTTAAAATTCGTTTTCAAATAAAGCCAGAAAAAATTATCCGGATATCTCCGGAACTACCCGAAATTTTAAAACTTATTTAATTTTACAACAACATATTGTTAGGTACAAAAAACAACTTTTTTCTAATCTGAGCCACCCCGTATCTCTTACCGTTTCCTAGATCCTAATGCTATCCCATCCTTATCTTGGACACACTGTATATCTATGAATTCATCAAACTTTAAAAAAAAATAAGTACACTAATCGATCATACGGAAAAAAAAATTATTTATTTTATTTATTCACTATGTTTGAATTCAAATGTGACTAACCGTCACACACAGCCCGGAGCCCTTCTGTGGCACATTTCCCAGTGTGGTCAGGCGGGCTCTGGGCAAATGGACTGAGACAGAACACAGGAAATACTGGACTTCAAGGCCAGGACATAGCCATTCTAAGGAGCTCATGGAGTATCCTTTGAAGGAAAGAGCGAATGAACTACTGAGCTTGAACAGAATCCGGCTCAGGAGAGTGACAGGACTCATAACGGGACACTGTCACTTTAGGAAACATCTACATAAGCTAAAGCTTGTAGACAGTTCGGTCTGCCGAGGATGTGAATCGGCGGATGAAACTTCTCTGCATATCCTGGGCGAGTGCCCGGGATTTGCACGTAGCAGAATGGCGCTCCTTGGGAGACCCTATTTCGAACCCAAGAAACTGAGAGAAGTGTCAGCAAGGAAGCTTTTGGACTTTGTAAAAAGGACAAATCTACTTACTGAATAGGACTAGTAGTGGGACGCACAATAGGCCTAATTAGGCCGCAGTGCTATGGGACTTATTAGGACCAACCACTAGATGATGAAGATGAAGAAGAAGAACCGTCACACAGCGTATGACGGGTGGGTTCCGACCCGACCGTACATTCATAGCTGAGTATATTATTAGTGATGTCAAATACAGTTACTTTTTAGTACTCAGGGTATTCGTTAGTTTTATCTTGAGTACTCGTTACTTTGTATTCGTTACCTACTGAGTACGTTACTGAGTACATGAATAGTTCGGCCGGCTAAATAAACTTTTATCCATTGTGGCTACATCTATTCCAAGCGAACGTATATTCTCTAAGGCAAGTCAAATAATAACAGAACGGCGCAATAATAGATTATTAAAATCGAAGTATGTAAACAAAATCATTTTTCTAAACTGCAACGATTTTTTGTTTATTCATAAAACTTTGTAGTAGTAGGCATTCGCACAAAACAGTAAATTGTTTTGAATTGATAAATTACGTTAATTGTTATTTTGGATATTTATTTTTTCGTTAGGTATTTCTATTTTTATAAGACTAATTTCTATAAGACAAGAGTAGAATATATATATTTTTTTTGTGTTTAAAATAAATAAATTTAGAAAATAATTATTTATTTAAATGTTAATAAATATATAAATAATTTAAGTTTTGTATGTTTATATATTATTTACGTTCTTCAGGTGCATAGGTATCTACTATACTGCAGCAAACTACGAATTAAATAATTACATTGGTTAATTACTGATTAAATATATTTTACAGCTGTCAAATGTTAAATGTCAACAAAAAGGTATTTTATCTTAAGTAACAATACTATAGGTTGACGACTACGCCACTACTTTTTCCTTGCGATACTCGTCGAACGAGTACATGATAAATATTCCGAGACCCGATACCCGATACAAAATATTGTATCTACGAGACAAATCTGAAATTCACGCGTTCAGTAAATATTTCGAACCGACTCCGAGTATTACCGATTATCGTGATTACATGTTCGAAACTTAAAAAGTATCAGTATCGAATACTTTTCTCATCGATTACTCAGTATTCGTTACTTATTCAAGTAACGGATAAAAAGTAACGAATAATTACAATATTGACATTACTATATATTATTAAGCTGTGCCTGAGCAGTGAGCCGCGAGGCCACAGCCGCCAGTGCGTGAGACAGCGACCAATAAGAAGCACGCTCTGTCATTTCATGCATTACTTTTATTACATATCAGTTATTATCAATTAAAAAAATTTTGTGTTTCAACGTTAGCAGTTTCTGAACCAGACCTACAGTCCACAGCAAATTATCCCAAATTAACGCACTATTCGACTTGATGTTTATAGCAATACTGTATAAAAATAGTTTTGGGTCAAACAATGAAAAATTTTTTTTGTATTTTTTCCGTACAATTGAATGGCGTAATCAGTTTTTGATTTTTTTTTTAATTTAAACAAATTATCAACAATTACTGAAAAATTCATTGCTGCAAGTCATTCTTTACTTTTTTTACATTTTTGAGCATGTTTTTAAACTGTGATTACAATTTTTTTTATTTCACCAAAAAGTATGTCAAAACGAAAAAAATGATTAGCCGCAGAACGCCGTAAGAAGATTTTTTAAGTAGAATTTTTCTTTGAAAAAAAGTGTTAGGCTGAAAAAATGAATATCTCAGAAACTTCTTGATTTTTTTATCTAGAAAAATTTGAGATTATTTAAGACAGAGAAAGGTATACTGTCACCAAGTTTCGTCAAAATTACATTATTGCGGAAATGAGATATAAAAAACGAAAAATCAGAAAAAACCTGTTTTTCGCATTTTTCTCGGAAATTTTGAGGTTATGTTAAAAAATGACCTCTACAAAAGTTGTAGATTTTTGCATGATCTACAACTTTTGTATTAAATAAGTACTGTTTTGTTTGACGTCAACTTTCGCTAGAAATCCCAATGATACAATTTTTCATAACTTTTCAACCCCCCAAATCAACCGTCCGCCGCCCCGGCTCACGCATTTATTTTTTTTTTCGTTTATTATAAGCCCCTATTCCCTACAAAAAAATTTCAGCTTGACTTAAAATCGATCTGAAGCTGTTCGGATTTATGCTATCCGCTTTCCAAATAGAATTTGCATATTTGAAGTGACGAAAATCCCCATGCTATTATTGAGACAAAACACTAACAAAAATTTATCATTAATGTATGGTGAAAATATGGAGGGGGGTCAATACCACTAGGAACCTCAAAATTTCGAGTGCTCTCCATTATCAATGGCAGTTTAAAGAAAAATTTTTCCAATTTCAGAATACTTAGTGGTGTCATAATTCTGAAGCTCCTCCTAGTGGTACTGACATCCCATATGTTCACCATTGGTTGGTTACCGGTAATTAAAATTAGGTAGTGAATATTTACTTTTATTTAGATAAATAAATGATGACAAAAGAAAGTGAACCACAACCCACACGTTTAGCTTAAGATAATTTGTTCTTCCACCTGGGGAAGTTTCCTGATTAAAACCTGGACCACCCTGTATTATTAATACACTCGATCTTAATCAAATCTACCAAAACTATTATAATATATCTATAAATCTTTGTGACAATTAAATCAAAATGAAAATAAATTGTGGATATTAACATAAAGGTTGGGAATAAATTAAACAGTGGATTTTTTATTTTAAAAAATAAATATTTGTCATATAAAATTATGCTCTACGGGTTCTCTTTTCCAAGCTGCGGGGTGTTAAAAAATTTCAAAAAATTTAGTTTTTTAATATCATTTTCAATGCAAAAATTTTTTTTCAATGCCTATTTGACCAAGTTCGGTGGCTGAGTCAAAGCGTACTTCATAATGCTTTTGTTATTTATGCCACTGTTAAAAAGATGTTTTTACCAGTGGCGTACCACAATTTTCTTCGAAAAACCTTATGGTACAATCTGTACGCGTGCCACTGAGTAACTTACAAAGTTAATTTTTTCCCGTTACTAAGGGATTATCAAATTAAGCTAAGGCTAAAATTTCGTTCCATTATATTATAATGTTCGAAATTTATTAGAGAAAAACTAAATTTTTTGAAACTTTTTAGCGCCCTGTAGCTTGGAAAAGAAAACCCGTAGAGCATAACTTCATATGAGAAAAAATTATTTTTTAAACCAAATAATCCACCGTTTAATTTATTCCCAACCTTTACGTTACACCCAGTATACAATATACATTAATTACTATTCTGAATGATACATTCAGAACCCTTTTTGGCTTTTCAAAATGACAATCAAAATGTTTTTTCATTTAAAACTTTTTTTTTACTTTTTCTTAAAATGTTAACCACAGAGTTATAACATTTAATTGAACTTCTATAACTTGGAATTATACTGCCTTTGCATAATGTAATTAAGACTCATTTGTGACATTCTGCTTATTTGAATCCACTTAAAAATCACAGTTTTTGAATTAATTCTTGTGCGATAAGAACAACTTATTTAATGTGCATGTTATTGTACTGTTATAATTATATTAATTGATTATTTAAGCAAGACATTAGCAATCTTTTCCTACTTCGGAGTCTACAAAAAATTATTTGGGCAAAAGATCGATTAAAAAAAATAAAACTTATTTTCTGTTATATAAAATAATTTGTTTTGCAACATATAAAAATGTAAATTTTTTTTGTGACTAAGAAATTTGTCTACGAACCGTGTTAGTTTGGACAAGCTAACGATCAAAAAGTGTTTTACTTCCAGTTAGTAGAAATGCAATTTTTGATATTTGTATATAATGTTCAATTTAAATCAAAATGAACTATGATACAGTGATTATTTTTTTTTGTTTTTTCCACAGTTGACAATTTTATCTCATTACATGTCTTCGAATTTGTTAATTTGCTGTGTTCATATTGAATTAAATTAAACATAAAATTCTATGTAAATAGAAAAAATTTTAGACTTGTGACGAAATACTTTTTTGTTCATGTACTTGTCTCACTTGATGCTGACGTGGCTAGTGGACAATTTGTTCACTCACAAAAAAAAAGGTGTTTTCATTCTTACAAAATTTATATTATTTTAACCTATAGTGCGGAATGTGTGTCTCTCCCTTTATAGGAGATCCTAATACAGTTTTTTTTTAATCACTTACTACAATTTTCCACTACAGGAAAGAAATGCCGAGTCTGCCATTGAAGCCCTTAAGGAATATGAACCTGAAATGGGTAAAGTTATTAGAGGAGATAAATCTGGAGTACAAAAAATTAGGGCGAACGAAATTGTACCTGGCGACATTGTTGAGATATCTGTTGGTGACAAGATTCCTGCTGATATCCGTCTCACTAAAATTTTCTCTACAACACTACGTATTGATCAGTCCATTTTGACCGGTGAATCCGTTTCCGTAATCAAACACACTGAACCCATTCCTGACCTACGTGCTGTGAATCAAGATAAAAAAAACATTCTTTTCTCTGGTACTAATGTGGCAGCGGGTAAAGCCCGTGGTATAGTTATTGGTACTGGTCTTAACACCGCTATCGGTAAAATTAGAACTGAAATGTCAGAAACAGAAGAAATAAAAACTCCTCTCCAACAAAAGCTTGATGAGTTTGGTGAACAATTATCTAAGGTCATATCTGTTATTTGTGTAGCTGTGTGGGCTATTAATATTGGTCACTTTAATGATCCTGCTCATGGTGGGTCTTGGATTAAGGGTGCTGTTTATTATTTCAAAATTGCTGTTGCTTTGGCGGTAGCGGCCATCCCAGAAGGTTTACCTGCTGTTATCACTACCTGTTTGGCATTAGGTACTCGTCGTATGGCCAAGAAAAACGCTATTGTAAGATCACTTCCTTCTGTAGAAACTCTTGGTTGTACCTCCGTAATTTGTTCTGATAAAACTGGTACACTAACCACCAACCAAATGTCTGTATCCCGTATGTTCATATTTGACAAGGTTGAAGGGAATGATAGCAGTTTTCATGAATTTGAAATTACCGGTTCGACATATGAACCTATTGGTGAGATATTTCTTAAAGGACAGAAGGTAAAATGCGGCGAATTTGATGCTCTTCAGGAATTAGGTACCATTTGTATTATGTGCAATGATTCGTCTATTGATTTCAACGAGTTTAAACAAACCTTTGAAAAGGTTGGTGAAGCTACTGAAACTGCCCTTATCGTTTTAGCTGAAAAAATGAATCCTTTTAATGTGACTAAAACTGGAGACCGCCGTCAAATTGCAATTTGTGTAAGACAGGACATTGAAAGTAAATGGAAAAAAGAATTTACTTTAGAATTCTCACGTGATCGGAAATCAATGTCTTCCTACTGTGTACCTCTTAAGCCGTCTCGTTTAGGAAATGGACCCAAACTCTTTGTGAAAGGTGCACCTGAAGGTGTTTTAGATAGATGCACGCATGCACGTGTTGGTACGCAGAAGGTTCCTCTAACTAGCAATTTAAAGAAACGTATTGTTGAACTGACTGCACAATATGGTTGTGGACGTGATACCCTTCGTTGTCTAGCTCTTGCTACGGGTGACAACCCCATGAAACCGGAAGAAATGGATCTTGGAGATTCCTCCAAATTCTATACTTATGAAGTTAATTTAACCTTTGTTGGTGTAGTTGGTATGTTGGATCCCCCACGCAAAGAAGTATTTGACTCTATTGTTAGATGCCGTGCAGCTGGTATTCGTGTAATTGTTATTACTGGTGACAACAAAGCAACAGCAGAAGCCATTTGTAGACGTATTGGTGTATTCGGTGAAAATGAAGATAGTACTGGAAAATCTTATTCTGGACGTGAATTTGACGATTTATCTCCAGCTGAACAAAAGGCTGCTTGCGCTCGTGCTAGGCTGTTTTCTCGTGTTGAGCCTGCTCACAAATCTAAGATTGTTGAATATTTACAAAGTATGAATGAAATATCTGCTATGGTAAGTTGTTTTTTCATATTTAGTGGAACATTGACATTTTTTTTTATTAATGGATATACATATATTAATAACTTAGTGTTTATTTTGCTATGAGATCATTCTTCTTCTGTTTGTTATACAGAAATTACAATCGATTTTCTATTTTCAAAAAATAGATTTTAGAAGAATTTTAATATAGCTGTATAAAGTTATTCATTACTTTTGTTTAATTTTTGCAATGTATTTGATAAAAAATGTTAAGGAAGCTTATTTTAGAAATTTTTCAGCGATTAGCAACGGGATTTTTTTGGCATGTTCAAAATTATTTTATTTAAATATAAAAGAATAAATTTTGGAATATTATCTTATATATCTTACTCTGTAGACTGGTGATGGTGTAAATGATGCCCCAGCATTGAAAAAAGCAGAGATTGGTATTGCCATGGGATCAGGAACTGCAGTAGCTAAATCGGCATCAGAGATGGTACTAGCTGATGATAATTTCTCATCTATTGTGGCTGCTGTTGAGGAAGGTCGTGCCATCTACAACAACATGAAGCAGTTCATTCGTTACTTGATCTCTTCTAACATTGGTGAAGTAGTTTCTATTTTCTTGACTGCCGCACTTGGTTTGCCTGAAGCTCTTATCCCAGTACAACTGTTGTGGGTTAATTTGGTAACTGATGGTCTTCCAGCTACTGCTCTTGGTTTTAACCCACCTGATTTAGACATCATGAATAAACCACCACGTAAAGCTGATGAATCTCTAATATCAGGCTGGTTATTCTTTAGGTATTTGGCTATTGGTGGTTATGTTGGTGCTGCCACCGTTGGTGCTGCTGCTTGGTGGTTTATGTTTTCTCCAGAGGGCCCGCAAATGAGCTACTATCAATTGGTATGAATAACAGAATTAAGCTAATAGATATTTATATTTAAAATTTGTATTATTTTTTAGACTCACCACTTGCAGTGTTCTTCTGCAGGGGCAGATTTTAAGGGTGTTGACTGTAAAGTCTTTAACGATCCTCATCCCATGACTATGGCTCTTTCGGTACTTGTAACTATTGAGATGTTGAATGCCATGAACAGGTAAAGTATTATTAGAAGTTTAAATTATACGTAAGCAATTCTTACAGTACAGAAGCACAATAATCTAAAACTTTTCATAATTATGTATTATAATTTGGTCATTTAATTGATGACTTACTTTCAGTTTATCAGAGAATCAGTCTTTAATTGCCATGCCCCCATGGTGCAACTGGTGGCTAATTGGATCGATGGCTCTTTCCTTCACTCTCCACTTTGTCATTCTCTATGTTGAAGTTCTTTCTGTAATTATACCTGCTCTCTAAAATTAACTTCAGTTTTAATTAGAGATTTAATACTTTTAGGTTGTATTCCAAGTTTGTCCATTGACAGTTGAAGAATGGCTGACAGTAATGAAATTTTCAATTCCAGTAATATTACTTGATGAAACTCTTAAATTCGTCGCCAGAAAAATTGCAGATGGTGAGAATCCAATTTACACCGTACACTGGATTGTACTAATGTGGGCTGTTTTCTTTGGCTTACTACATGTGTGTCCCATATAGATCAAAACTGCCTCCATTAACGAGGACAGCCTTTAGTGTGTAAACGGGTGCTATCGATGAATCTAAGTCAAAAAGTGTGAAGAAATACCATCTTGGTTGAGTATTCAAAAAGTGCCTTTTTGATCATTTAGTTATTTTACGCGTCTTAGCAGATCCCAAAAAAAATTATTTAAGTAATAGGTAACTTTTTTTAGTGTATGGGTTCTAATTTTTATTAAGTGGGCAAGGAAAATCCTTGTAGATAATTACTTATTAGTTTTGCATTTCAGTAATCACTCTTCACAAGCTAAAATTTTTTCAAGGACAATGGCAATGAATTTCTATTTTTTAATATTTTATGATTGTACAAGTACCGATGTGAAGTTGAAAGCAAGAAATGAAATAGAAATATTTAAATATTAGTAAATTAGCATACCCGTTTTTACCCACTAAATTGCAAGTTGACATTGCTAGTGTTTCCTAGTGCCCCTAACAAAAATTTTACATTTATATTACACAGCAAATAAGACATTTTTAGATGTAGTTTTATAAATACCATATTTTTTTTATTTGAAATGGTATTTTCTTGTGAGTTGTGTAATATAATATATATATAAATTGAAGCAAAAGTTCGTCGAATATTAGGCAAGTTGTGTGCCCGCGAGAGTTGAAATTTGTGATTCATAGGAAAACAACTTAATTCAAAGTGCATGATTTGATTAAAACGCAACAAGACTGAGGCGGTTTTCTGATCATCAACGAATGTCATGTACCAAAAAGTGTGTCTTTTTGGATGTAGTAAATAATACCAACATGTTTTATAGACAAGGTATAATTCCAAGTCTGTTTGCTATTTGACTCAATATTCCTGTAGAAATTTAGGCTGTTTTGATAATTAATTTAGATTGTGATTTTTGAAGGGAACGTATTATGGGAGTGATATTTTTCAATTAGAATTGATTCGTCCTTACTCTCAGAGCTTAGAATGAATCTAGACATTTTACTACTACAACTATTATAATAGTATAATTAATATAGTACTTATCGTTGGCAACAGTCTTGAGATTATCCCATGCATGATCCTAACTTAAGGTCTTGATTACTATAAAAACTAGGTTGTTAATGTGCACAAAGGAACACCGAAATTATAGTTTATAAAAATTATTATTAGATCTGTATATGATTACAAAAAATAAAGTACCACTATATGCTTTGGTTCAAACAATAGGAAAAGTAAATTTTTATGAATACAAAATGTGCCAATTCTCTGTAAATTGTTTTACCTGCATTTTATCAATGCTATCTTGGGGTAGATTGATGTATTCAGCAATATTGGAATTTGTCTATTTTAAACCAGTGGAGATATGTTCACATGTAAATTACTCAGTTAAAGACTCAATATAAATTTCAGGGAACATGTTTAATATAGAGTAATGTTTCTTAAATACATTTTGAAATATGAAAAAATAAAATAAATTTACTTAATAATTTTTAAAATATGTATATTTTCTTTAATAATAACCAGATACAGTGCCTTCATAAATACCCGAATCCCACGTGACCGGAGGCAGTAATTAACACAAAATCCTTTAAAGACGGAGGATACCAAAAAGTTTCAGTGTTTTACTGATTTTTTTTTCAATATTTAAATATAAATTGTACGCAAATTAATTTACCTTATGATGCTAACATAAACACGAAGTTATTATGTAAATCAAATTTATAATAAATGTATGTTTTCCAAATAAAAAGTTACTCTGTGTTTTATGTGACACAAGTTCATTTGGTGTTAAAATGTTTATTTCATGTTCAATTGCTGCTTCCAGCTCAAGTGTATGGAGAGGACGTTTAAATACTTATTTTTGATATGGCCAAACAGATAAAAATCTAAAGGTGTGAGATCAGGCTTTAAGCAGACCACAAGCTCCTAGTAATCAATTTATCACCATAAAAGTCCTGAAGATATCTTATAGCTTCAGCTGCAGCTGCAGCTCTATCTTGTTGAAAATACAGGGTTTGTCGTAATATGTTACGGTATCATTCTCCATCTATTACTTCTCGAAAAAAAAATTGGGTCTATTTATTATTCATCTTGAAACTGCTACCCAGATACCTATTTTCTGAGGATGTTTCAATAAAATTTAAATAACTAAATAAATGTACTCGTACTTCATCGGAATAAAATATCATTGCTAATTATCATTGTGATCAGGAGGATGTAACTTGCACAACAGAAACCTTATAGGGATGTATATGGAGCTACTTTTTTAATGCCTTGTGAGGGATACACCTACAGAGATATTATCTATATAATAATATGTACAATTATTTCTTGTACATTCACAAATTAACCAACCTAAAAAGTCTATAAGTTAAAGTAAAAGTAAAAATTTTCAAAATTATTTAATTATTAATTATTTTTTAACTAGATTTGGGTTAAAAAACATAATTCAAACTATATTTCAGTTCATCGTAGTACCTGTTTGTGTAAATAACTGCGAAACAGGTTTCTTAGAACTTATACCATTGGTTGTCGAATATCTTCAACAATATTTTCTGTTAAAACAGTAGATCTGCCTGTCGACTAATTTGTGGTTTTTAAGGACATCGTATACGCTATTAGTATCAGGAAATTGTTCCATGCAGGATTGCAAAGAATAAGACCAACCATCTGTCTTCCGTTTACCACCGCAAAAATGTACCATCATAATATAGCATTCCAGTATAAACGTCGCACAAATCTACAAGAAATAATAATGTAACAAATGAAACATAACTTCAAAATATTATTTACTGAAAAGAACAATTTTTTCTAACTCGACAAAGATTAATTTGTAGAAAAGCTCAGAAATACTGGTAAACGCAGTTAAATTGTACAACAGGCATGAAAACATTAAAAATTACAAGTGTAAAAACACTACACAAGTTACGAACGCCTCTGGATTGACATTTAATCTAGGGTCCTAGTTAGTGATTTTTCCCTGGTAATTTCTGAAACAGCAATTTAAGAGAATCAAATGTACTGAGCGCCAAAACAAGTCTGGATACATGGGACTCGGGCATTTATGAAAGCACTGTACACATAGTCATCATCACGTGTTGGTATTGGGCTATTGAAACCATGATTTTAGTATGCCAGTTTTCCAACTGGAAGATTAGTGAAAAATATACGTTCCAGCGGTTGTTTCTTCATTTTTGTTTTGTACATTGCACATTCTCATAAAGTAAGTGGAGTGAAGACCATTAATTGGACATATAAATTATTAGGAAAACATATAAGGACTTTTCTTTTAAGTTTCAGGGTGTACTTAAAATTTATTCTGTATGTAAAATATGTTCGTGAGCGAATAGCACTTTAACAACCAAGTTCATCAAGTAAATCATAAAGTCAGTTTTAAAGTTTGTAACATAATGTGAATATTTTGTGATTTACTATAAATGTACACGTACACGTTTTGTGGATACTGACAAATAGTTTTCAGAATATTTATTTATATATCTAGTTATTATGTATATTTTTTACTCCAGTACCAATACACAGGTAAAACAACCGTTCGATCTGTGTTATATTTATTCTTTTCTTTTTACTAATTAATACCTGAAACTGTTTGTCTTGTCCTATGTTTGTAATTGATACAAATCTGTAAATAAATAATACTTGTAATTGGCAGTGTTAAATTACTTTGAGGTAATAAAAAATTTTAAAATATCCCTTTGTCTTTGCTAAATTTCTGGATGTTCTGCATCCTGCTGTTTTAGAATATCGTACATTAATCATTTTAACATTATTTCGAAAGATTCTGCAATATTACGATGTAATTTATAAAGGTTTTTAGTATTTTTTAACGGTAAAGACAAAATTGTGATATTACAGTAATCAATAATTCTAAAATATGTTATTAATGTAAATTATATAAGCTGTGCCATTAGGAATAGGACAGTTTTCAGATTAAAATATGTCTTGATTAAATTTTACTCTTTTTCCATCTGCAGGGTGTCAAAGTTTGAAGAAGTATATTAATTTGGTAATACATCATAAATATGTCATTAATTAAATTGAAAATTTCACATGTTAGAGGGGGAACTTTATAAATAGTATTAATTTAGGGCTCATCAATGGAAGGAGCTGGGTACACATTAGTAGTGGATTAAATATGACGATCTTTTTTCCCTACATACTTAGTCCAAAAATGAAAACTTGCATGACGTTGAATAATATTAATGTACTAATTGAAAGTCTTGAGCAAAATCTGTTTTCAAGATGAATGTGAGTTTCCATATCTGCATGCATTAACTAGAAGTTATTGCTTCAGGCCATTTTATTTATTACATCTTTAAAAAATATGTGTACATTTTTGTTTTAAATAAGATGTCCTGTGACATATATGTGCCATATGGTATTTTCTGTCATAATTTCAGTATGTTGCTTCTTCAATCACAAATCTAAGGATAAAGCAAATGGTCCACATAATCTGAGAAACGAACCAACATGCTTCAAAATAATACCACAGATTTTTTTGGACTTGATTGAGCTGATAACACACTATTTAAAATTAATTGATACTATCATAAAGGACCCCGCACAAACCTTATGGGTTTGAGTTCCTGGTCGATTCGTCTGAATTTTTGATATGTTGTATTTGACACTTCTGATTAAAAGTCCCTAAATTTTTATATCTCGGGTTATTACAAAATTATCCATTAAATAGGGGTAGAAAAATTAAAATATTTATATTTCGAGTTGTTATGAGATTATCCATCTGTTTTTTTTTTATGAATCATTCTGTATGGTTAAGAGCATGTGTTGAAAAATCCTCAAACCATTTCCACCCCGAAACGCCCTCCAAATAGGGGTAGAAAAACTAAAATATGTATCTCGGGTTGTTATGAGATTATCCACCTGTTTTTTGTTTTGTAAATCATACGGAACAGCCCCAA